TGAGGGGAAAACTTCAAGAAGAAGAGATAACATTCATTAACATCTATGCACCAAATATAGAAGCACCCAAGTACATAAGACATTTTATAACAGACATGAAAAATAAAATAAGCAGCAACACAATCATAACAGGGGACTTTAACACACCATTGTCACAAAGACATAGAGCAACTGAAAAAGAAATCAGCAAAAAAATGACAGAACTTAACCAAACTTGTGAACAAATGGACTTAATAAAATTTTACAGAGTGGTCCATCCAATAGCATCAGAATACATATTCTTCACAAAGACACATGGGGCATTCTCTAAAATAGACCATATGCTAGCACATAGAACATGCTTAGGGAAATGAAAAGAAATTGAAATTATCCCATGCATACTATCAGACCAGTGTGCAATGAAATTGGAAATTATTATTTTTTTTTACAGTACCAGGATTTAAACTCATGATCTTGGGCTTGCCAGGCAGGTGCTGTGCCACTGAGCTAAATCTCCAGCCCCTGAAATTTGAAATTAATGACAAAAGAAATCACAAAAACTCCATAAACACAGGGAAATTAAATAACACCCTCCTGACCAACCAATGGGTCACAGATGAAATCAAAGTAGAAAGTAAAAAATATTTATAATCAAATTAAAATATAGATATAACCTATAGGAACCTGTGGGACACAATGAAAGCAGTCTCAGAGGGAAATTTATAGCAGTGAATTCCCACCTCAGGAAAAGAAAATGAGCACAAATAAACAATCTCATGCTATACCTCAAGCTTCTAGAAAAAGAAGAACAAGCCAAACCCAAAGCTCAAAAACAGGAAATTATAAAACTCAGGGCAGAAATTAATGCAATGGAGACTAAAAATGTATACAAAGAATTATTGAGTCAAAGAATTGGTTCTTTGAAAGAATAAATAAAATAGATAAACCCTGGTCCAACCTTATCCAGGAAAAGAAAAATTGAAATACACGCAATAAGGAACAGAAGGGGTGAAATCACCACAAATCCTGTAGAAATTCAGAAGATCATCAGTACCTACTTTGAAAACCTTTAGTCTCACAAGATGGAAAACACAGAGGAAATGGACAGATTTCTAGATACATATGAACTACCAAAGCTGAATGAACAAGGTATAAAAATCCTGAATAACTCAATTATCAGCCAGCAAAATTGAGAATGCAATAAATAAATTTGCCAATAAAGAAAAGCCCAGGTCCTGATGGATTCACAGCTGAATTTTATCAGAAATTTAGAGAAGCTTTAACTCCAGTTCTTCTCAAACTGTTTAATGAAACTGAAAAGGAAGGAATTCTCCCCAATGCATGCCTGGAAGCAAGTATTATACTGATACCAAAACCAGAGAAAGACCCAACCAAAAGACAGAACAACAGATCAATCTCCCTAATGAATATAGTTGCAAAAACTCTCAATAAAATACTAGCAAATAGAATACAACAAATCATAAAGAAGATTATACACCATGACCAAGTGGGATTCATCCCAGGAATGCAGGGATGGTTCAATATTCACAAATCAATTAATGTAACACACCATATCAATAGAACGAAAGACAAAAACCACATGATCATCCCCATCGATGGCAGAAAAAGCCTGCAATAAAATTCAACACTCATTCATGATAGCAATCCTAGAGAAAATAGGAAAAGGTGGTCTTTACCTCAATGTGATGAAAGCCATCTATGACAAGCCATGGCTAACATAATACTAAATGGTCAAAAATAGAAAGCTTTCACTTTAAAATCAGGAACAAAACAAGGATGTCCACTGTCACCCTCCTATTCAATACAGTTCTGGAAATATTAATGAGAGCAATTAGGGAAGAGAGAGAAATAAAAAGAATAAGGATAGGAAAGGAAGAAGTGAAGTTATCATCCTTTGCAGATGAAATGATACTCTACATAGAAGACCCCAAAAACTCCACCAGAGGCTTATAGATTTAATAACCAAATTCAGTAGCGTAGCTAGATACAAAATCAACACTCAAAAATCAATAGCATTCCTATACACAAAGAACAAACACACTGACAGAGAAATTATGGAAACTAACCTCTTACAATATCATCTAAAAATGAAATACTTAGGAATCAATCTAACAAAAGAAGTGGAAGACCTATACAGTGAAAATTATAGTATTCTGAAAAAAGAGATTGAAGAGGATATCAGAAAATGGAAAGATATTCCTTGGTCATGGATAGGAAGAACATTGTGAAAAGGACCATACTCCCAAAATTTGTGTACAGATTCAGTGCAATTCCATTTAAAATACCATTAGTATACCTCAAAGATTTAGAGAAAACATTCCTAAAAATTCATCTGGAACCAGAAGAGGCCTAGAATAGCCAAAGCAATCCTGGGAAACAAAGGTAAGGCAGGAGGTATCACAACCCCTGACTTGAAATTATACTACAAAGCTACCGTGATAAGCATGGTACTGGCACAAAAACAGACCTGAAGATCAATGGAACAGATTAGAAGATGCAAACACAACTACAGACACACTCAGCCATGTTATCTTTGACAAAGGGGCCAAACATGTTCACTGGAAGAAAGATAGTCTCTTTAATAAATGGTGCTGGAAAAAAGGACTTTCCACAGGCTGAAGACTAAAACCAGACCCATGTCTTTCACCATGCACCAAACTCAAGTCAAAATGGATCACAGATCTCAATATTAAAACAGAAACACTAAATCTATTGAAAGAGAAAGTAGCTAAAAATCTCAAAGACACAGGGGTAGACAGAGAGTTCATGAACAAAAACCAAACTGCATAGGAAATACTTCAAAGAATCAACAACTGGGATCTCATCTTACTGAAAAATTTTTGCACATCAAAAGAAATCACCAACAGGGTAAAAAGAAAACCCACAAATGGGGAAAAAATTTTATCTAACTGCCCCTCAAAGGATTTCTATCTAGGATATATAAAGAATTTTAAAAAATCAGTTCTCCAAAATTCAAAAACCCAATCCAAAAAGGGGCATCTGAGATGAATACACACTTCTCATATGAAGAAATACTAATCGTGAATAAATATATGAAAAAATGTTCAATATCATTACTCATTCAAGAAATGCAAATTAAAACAACACTGAGATTCCATCTCACCCCAAGAATGGCTGTCATTAAGAAATCAATGAGTGACAAATGCTGGAGAGGCTGTGGGGAAAAATGAACAATTCTCCACTGCTGGTGGGAGTGTAGATTGGTGAAACTGCTGTGGAAATCAGATTGGAGATTCCTCACAAAACTAGCATTAGAAGTCCCCCATAACCCAGCTATTTCCCTTCTGGGTATTTTTCCAGAAGAATTAAAAACATCATACCACTGCAATATATGTGCACCCATGTTTATAGCCATGCAATTTGTCATAGTTAAATCTTGAAAGCAACACAAATGCCCATCAACTGAAGAATGGATAATAAAGATGTGGCATTTTTATGCAGTGAAGTATTACTCAGCTATAAGAAAAGATAAACTCGAGGCTTTTATAGGTAAACGGATGCAACTAGAGACCATACTGATAAGTGAAATAAATCGGGTCCACATGTGTAAACATCATATTGTCACCCTAGTGTAAGAACATGAAAGAGTAAATAAACACAAAATGTACAACAGATAGTAAGAAAGGGAAAGAAATTGCTCAGAGGCAGGAACAACTGGGATGAGGGAAAGAAGAAATAAGAAGTATATATATATATATATATATATATATATATATATCTTGGATAACTGTACTGCTGATGTCTGATGGTTTATTGAAAGGAACAGTTAATGCTTAAAATTTTTTATGTTCTGACCAGTTTTGCATGCTTATATCTGGTAATCTGAGCAACTGATGTGAAGATAACAATATGCAATGGAACAACCATTGGTGAATTCCTACCATCTTGCCTAGTGAAACTCTGTATTATCTCTAATGTTTTACCCAATAATTATGTTTTTATTCTCTTTAATGGTTTGAACAATTTTCTTTTCTTACATATAATCATTTGAGCAACATAGTTGAAGATAACAATATGTAATATAACAACCAGTATTAATTCCTATCATTTTGTTTTGAAATCCTGCATCACTTCTAATGTTCTTGCTTTGTTTTGTTTATGTTTGTCATATTGGTATTTTGCTATTGTTCTTTTTTCTTTTACTACTCTCTTTAAAATAAAAAAATTTTAAGAATGGGGAAGGAAAGAAGGGTTGGAGGAAAGGAGAGGAAGAGGACAAAAAATAATTAAGATGCTACCTGTGCAAGTTCTGCATGATGAATATGATCATTATGTCATGTACTAATAAAAAGGTAGAATTTAATTATGAATATTTTCCAAACAATGGGCAAAGTCAAAGTGTATTACCTCACTGTAATGGTTGATACATTGTGTCAACTTAAAAAGTCTAGCTGCTTAACCAAGTAACTCAGCAGTTTTAGGGTGTGGAGGACCTGCTCTTACCGCCCTTACATGTTGTTCATTGTGTCCACTTGAAAAGTTTAGAAATTTAACTAAATGATTCAGCAGGGAGCCAGAGTCCTCACTTTGTACACATCCTGAGCCTGTGCAAGAAGAGGGCACAGAGATGGTGTAGGCAGGTAGCCTGAAAAGGGTATAAGAGAGGAAAAAGAGCCTTGTTCTCCCTTCTTTTGCTCTTGTTGCTTTTGCTGTCTTCTGTTGCCTTAAACTGTTGCCCCTCACTATGCCACACTGCCTTGGAGCCAGCTGATTATGGACTGGAACCTCCAAAAACTGTGAGTTAAATAACCCTTTCTTTTCTTAATTGAGGGTGTTGGATATTTTGTTTCAGCAGCAAGAGAAAAGTAACTAAGACACCCACGTATCCTAATAATAAAATTGTGTATCTAAAAGAGGTCTTCACAACCCGTGATTATGAAGACCAAAAATGATTTCTGCTTCTCATTGATCCATTTCTCCAGCTTCTTCCTTCATATGCATAAAGATATCACATATTTTTCAAAGACTTTATTTATACTCTCATAACACTTCTTTTAGAATATTAAAAAGAAAACATTTTATGTAAATTTTATTACTAGAGTTAACACAATAATTCCCATTTTATTAAATACTATTGGTGAAATTATTGAGAAATATTTACTCTAACCAGACCTCACTGATGCAGCCCCTGGGAGTAGATGGAAAGCATCTCACAATAATCAGAAATAGTGACTTTACATACCTCTCACTGATTCAGTCATCTCCTGTACATTACTTGATAATTAATACTCAATACAGTGAGTAAGATTCATGATTATAATAAATCTGTAATCATTCCTCAAAGGATAGTAGACTAGGCCTATCTTCATCTAACTTTTATTTAAAGGCAAATTAAAGTCTCTGGTGTTCTGGGACAGTCTCCTTGGAGAACATAGCAGAAATCCTGAAGGAAGATCAGGCTGCACTTGTGGTCACATCTCTTGATACAACCTTCAAAACAATGGGCTTTTCTGGCTGAAGAAGAGGACGCTTGCTTAATTTCATGGGGACCTACAACAATTGAACAAGAACATTGAGAAAACAAATAAATCACCAAAAAAGAACCAAAGAATCAAAGAATAGAAGAATACATTAATGACAATAATGTTTTACAAATACATGAAAACTGCATCATGTATTTTGAATTCCTTGCATTTATTATCTAAACTGAGTCATTCATTTAGCAAAAAATTACTGAGCATTTATTCTGTACCAGGCCTGAAATAAAATATTAGCTTATTCTCTTTACAGTCGACCTTCAAATTACAATCGACATCACATGCAAACACCTTGGGTTACAACCAGATTTAGGGTTAACTTATGACCAAAGTCTTCAGTTAAAACCCAAATGCCAGCCACTGTGTGATTGTAAACAAGGATGGATGATGCCAGAGAAATGTATATAAGCAAACTTAAGCATCAGTCTGAACCCAGATGCATATGTTCATGGATATGATTTTAGTCAGAACTTTATATAATCACCACAATTGCTTCTATCAAAATGGCCCCCAAAGAAGCTAGAAAACAAGCTAAGGAAGGAAAGGAAGGTAAGACAAAGCAATCACAATTGTAGAGAATAAACTTGTGGAGAAATATAAGAGTGACATTTGTGACTGATCTCATGAACATGTACAGCATGTTGGAATCCACCATCCCAACAATCTTACAGAGAAAAGATTTGTACAAGGAAGCCAGTGTTACTTAAGGTGCTACTCACATTAGTAAGTCATGATCAACAGTGTTAGACCAGGTAGAAAGCCTATTATTAGTGTGGATAAATGAAAGGCAGATGGCAGGTTATAGCCCATCTGAGTCTATAATTTATGCAAAAGTTAGGGCTATAAATTTAGATCTAGTAAAGTGTAATCCATCAATGAGTGATAATGGTGAAATATTTCATGCCAGTAAAGGTTAGTTTCAAAATTTTAAGTAAGAACTGGAGTTCATAGTATAACTAGGCATGGTGAAGCAGCCAATGCTGATAAAAAGGATGCTGAAAATCACATACATCACTTAAAAACAGTGACACAGACAAATGGCTTTTGCTCTCATCAAGTTTTCAACTGTGATGAACCTAACCTTTTCTGGAAAGAAATGTGCAGAATATACATTACCCAGGAAGAGAAAAAATGCCAGGCCACAAGCCTATGAAAGATAGGCTAACATTATTGCTAGGTGCCAATGTGAGTGGTAACCTCAAAATAGTCTCTCTTGATTTATCACTCTGAGACCTCTAAAGTGTTCAGAAAACATAATGTCATGAAGAGTAGCCTAGGGGTTATGTGGAGAGCTAATGCAAAAGCCTGAGAAACAGGCAGGTTTTATAACTTTTTGGTGACTATACTAGGAAAATTATTGGTGTTTCTGGTAAATTGTGCACATTATACAACCTTTTTTATTATGAAAATGTTGGTTAAGGAGTGCTTTTGGAGGTTCAGAATGCATTATGGGTATTTCCATTTTTTTCTTATGGGAAAAATAGTGTTCACCACCAATATGAGTTACAACCAGCCCTCATGAACATTGAGTTCATAAGTCAAGGGTCCACTGTATATTCATTATTGATTTAAATTTTAAGTAAAAGGATGTGTTTTAAAATTTTAAACCAGATTATACATCAAAGCAACCTATTCTTGAAATGTCATAAGAAGTTAGTATTGTGTTTGTTAAAATTTGCAAGGTCACCCTAAATAGATACAGTACTACACATTTCACTTTATGGGCAACCCTCTACTTCTGAATGGTCAGATCAGTCCTCTCAATCAAACTCATTCAGGTTAATGATGAGAAATGCCTTCAGGAAGTATTATGCTTTTGATTCCTTATATCTTCCCTTGGATTCCAAAAGATGATAGGGAACTTATGAGTTCTAAGGATGATAGGGAACTTATGAGTTCTAAGGATTTTGACTAATCCTACAGCCCCATTCTCACTACCTCACTCCTTCAATTTTAGGGGAGCCTGAAACGGACTAACTTTATGTTCTCAGAAGAGAGAGGAGTGGGCAAACCATCCATGGGAATTGAACTTGCCAAGGAGGATTTTCCCATTCCAAGTATGCACGAGGCCTGCTTTCCAACAAGAACGAACCACTCTCTACACACGCAGTAGAGGTACACAGCTTCTGTAAAGCCACAACTGAGAACATAACAACTTCTATCCTCTTCCTGTCTCCCATAGGAAACCTTCTGGCAGGAAGGAGTAGCATATTAAATGCATGACTATTGGAACTTAAATCTTATCAATTATTTCATATATATCAATGGCAATTATTCTTTAAGTTCTTTAGGGGAGTATTTCAAATCTTTCTCTAAATGATCCACCTTTTTATTTAAAATTTTCAAATAGCATCCATCTGTTTTATCTATTTTACAAAAACAAACATCATTTGTCAAGTTTTAAAAAATTAAAATAGCTCAAAATTTGTATCTAAAATTTCCCCCCAAAATATCTGTGAATCTATTCATAAGCACTTATTGAACTCTTGCAATGGCAAAGCCCTTATAGAGTACCACTGGAAGTTTATTAAAGGCATAAGTAACTGATATATATGGCAGGGGATACTCTTCAACACAGAGGAAAGACAACGAATCAAGTGGGATGGTCTAATGACAAAATGTTAACTTAAGTGATGATTGCAACTGGTAATAACTAAAATCAGAGCAAAGGAGTAAATGGTCCTGGAGGGGCTTGTGATTGAACTGAACTAGAAAGATGACAACAGGAAGAGAGATAACAATGCCTGTACTGATTATGAAAATGTAAAAGATAACCAGTTCATCTGGTGCAACCTCCTGAAATGAGAGGTTCAGTAGTCAGGATGGTCCTGAGTCACGAGAGATCTTGAAAACTAGCAGTAAACCAATGATTCTCAACTTTGCCTGGTAAATATAAACCTGGATGGAGATTTTTTTTGTAGCCATGCTTTCTGTGAATTATTTTACAATATAAGATGACACAGGCAACATGAGTTAGTGATTATAATGTATAGCCAGTGGCTGTGAACCAGTCACAAGGGGGCTTCTAGAAGTTGTGGTAGAGGAGGACACCACTCCAAAATCATGACAACATCATCACTGCCATTCATGATTGCATACAGCACATCCCATCTCCAGGTAACTGGAAACTAAATTTAAAACAGCTCAATTTTAAGAAGACCAGACATAATCATGTCATATTAATCTACATGGACTCTACATGGTCTTTACACTTTTGCTTTATACAGACACAGATTTATAGATCCAGGACTGAAAGGCTCTTGAAGCCCATGCCTGCGTCCAAATAGATCCTTTTGCCCACAGAACAAATTACTAAAAGATGAATGTGGAGATTCTTTATGTGTATGGATCCTTTAGCTTAAAAAATATTCCTCAATAAAACACAATTTATACAAAAAGTGCACTGACATGTGTTTCCTCACAAGGTTGGAAGGAAAAGTTCTGCAAGATTCTGATGACTGCCAGTTTCATGTTCATAAGAGCAAACCTCATGCCAATGCAGTTCCGTGGTCCATTCCCAAAGGGCATGTATATGTAAGGGTTAATGAGATCCTTTTTCTTCTTACTGAATCTGGTGGGAAAATAGGCATTCGTAGGATAATGTTAAGTGAAATGAATCAGACACATAATCTTAAATATCACATGGTTTCTCTTATATGGGAAACCCAAAGTATAAATAAAGAGCAAATTAAAAGATATATAATAAGAAGTAGGGAGATAGATCTTTCTCAAATAGGAAAGGGATTAAGAGAATGATGTACAAGAGAGGGAGAGGACAGGAAGGGGAGTAAAAAAGATTTAAGAATTTTCATGTACATGAACCAGTTCCCAGCAGGAATGAAATCATTATGTACTGCAAATGTGTACTAATAAAAATAATTGTAAAGTACATGAAAATCAGTGAATAAAACATTAAAAACCACAGGATGCTTTGGTGGGCTGCTCCCAAATCCTCTTACAATTATTTTCCTCTGAGAATTGTAAAATAAAGGCCCTTTATGCTTCCCTTACTATCTAGAAGCTTCAAGTCTTATTGACACGAAGGGAGGGGAATGCTGTGTGAAATAAAAATGCATCTTTATACACTAGAATTCCATTCTGGTCAGTGGTAAGTTCCCAAACTGAAGATATACAGGAGTTATACTGAGTGAAAGAGAAATGGGCTCCTTCAGCAAGTCGTACTTAAATTGGTCAGATGCTCTGCGAGGAAGAAGAAGAAAACCTCCATCACTGCTGAAATTGTTTTTATTTTCCTTTCCCTTCTTTCGTCTTCTCTCCTCTTTTATCCTTCCCCTATTGTTGCTGCGATTGTTGTTGTTATCATGGTAATCTTTTTTATCTCCTCATACTCTACAACTTGTTCCTTTTTTCCCCTTTCTCTCCTCCCATTAGAAAAGGTGAAAGTCAGGCCAGAGATATAGCTCAGAGGCACAGCACCTTCCTGGGAAGCGCGAGGCCTTGAGTTCAATTCCCAGTACAAAAAAAATGAAAGGTTAAAGTCAGACTCTTCAAAGAATGCAAGATCTGTCTCTACTGGGCTATCATCACTGACTTTCTTGTCTACCACCTCCACTAGAGATGTATTTTATTCAAATTTATTCATTTAGATCTGTATTTTTATTTAAATTTAATCTATCATAATTTGTTTATATTAGTGAAAAAACTATAGATTTATAAAAAGTGATAAGGGCACCAAATTATGTATTTTTAAGACAATTCTTATACTTTGAAGAACATTTTGAAATATTTCCAAGTGGCGTGCTACAAACAGAATGGGAAGCCAGGGAGGGTTATGATGGTGTGCAGATGAGACAGCTGACACAGGTGCATGATTGTTTGGGCAAGTGATAGGCCCATGGAAACACTTTAATAGCATTCTATGACTGAATTATACTTTAATATATGTGAAATATTCTCCACAGTAAATGAGTTTCAACATTTAGATTTCTAACTGTCTGGCCCAGTCTCTGCCACTTGGTGAGCATTTGGCTCAGGATTTCCCAAAGAGGCTCTTCAAGACACTTCCAAGGAAGATTCTCGCAGAACTGTACAGAGCAGATGACTTGGCTTTGGAAGAGTCACCATCTATGAAGAATATGAGGGAGGTGGCCCAGGATGCCGGTCAGAGACAAGACCAGATCATCAGGGAGGAGGAATTCTTAGGCCCTCCTCCTGTACTTTACAGTCACACTACAAGAAATGGGAGCCAATGGATGGTGGCCACGAGCTTCTTAAAGCTGGTGGTAAAGTCAGAGATCTCAAGGAAACAGTATAGAAACCCTGAAAGGAAAGAAAACTTACACACTTAGAATAGTGGTTAAGTAAATTGTGACTAATATGTATAATCACTTAAGAAGCAGTGGATAGCTTCTAGTTTACAGTAAGTAAAAAGCAATATAATACAAGAAAAACATCACAATTCTTGTTATCAAAAATGTATATATACTGTACAGAGATGTATGTCCATCAGGATATATCTTATTAAATAGGCCTATCAGTGGGACTGTGAATGGTCATTTTTTTATGTTTTCTGATTTAAACTATATAGTTTTGACAGTAATCATCACTTTGTAACTACTAAAAAAACTTCTAAAAGCAAAAAGACATATAAGCAAAGTAATGTATAATAACATGTATGTCATTTCCTGTAGAAGACATCATAAAATATTTAGACAAGTCTGCTTCAAGGTAGTTTTCCTTTCCCAGTGTCCCTGTACCTTTCAGGGCGAAACTCCTCAGGCTCTGGCCAGTACTCTGGGTCCCAGTGAAGAGCAAAGGCTGGTATCATCACCGTTGTCCCTTTGGGAATCACTGTCCCATTGATTTGAACATCTTTCTTACAGACTCTTTCAAGTCTGTTAGCAACTGGGTATAACCTGAGAGCTTCATTCACCACCATGTCCAGGTACTCCATCCCTACCAGGGTATCAAAGGTGGGAAGTGCCTGGGAAGAATGATATTTTGACAAATTGAGATTTGGAATTTATGTTTAACTTAGGCTATACAGTACTATTGAAATTTTAGGAGGTGCAAAAGATAACTTATATAGGTAAAGGACCTTGGGATTTATAAAGCATTTTAGTAGTTATCATGCCCTTTGTCCTGCTCAATGTGTGAAGTACAAATATCAGACAGTTTTAGAACACTCGCTTATCCAAGGCTTGAAATCCTCAGCTTTATCATGGTCTGCTTTATCTTTCTCATGTGAACAAACATGAGAGACTACAAACATTACTCTCAGATAAAATGTGCCAAAGTCACTGTCACCTTTCAAAAGAGAGGCCATGTGTCATTACTAAGAAAATATAACACAGGGAAAAAAAAGCAAGTCTGCTATTCTACATAAGGCTTTTCACTTGATGACTCCTGCTTTTGAAACTCATGTATATCAGAAATACTATGTGAAATTAACATGTTATAAATAATTTGGGAGAAACTAGTTCCTTGTATCTAGTTATGACATAAGAAGGTTTCTGCTGTTTACTACCAGAACACACAATTTCAGTTCTAGTGAAAGTTCTAAGGAGGATGGGAAACCCCGCTCCACTCCATTCTCTTTGCTAGACCAGCCTCCTGATTGTTACTTTCGGATTCTATTGTGAGCTCTGAAAAATGTCCTTTGTGTCCACTGCATTGCCAAGCCAGGCATGTCAGGCCCAGTGGCCAAATGATGTCATACCCCATAGCCCTCCCACCTGGGCAAAGATCTGCAGATGATGTTGGCACTTTGTTACTATCACTCAGTGTGCCATAGGTGAAGCTATATTGTACCGGTTAAGAGGAACCAGAGACGATGGCTCATCCTTTAACTTCTTCATCTCTAGCTCTGTGACCAGAGTGTAAGGATGTATAGACAAAAATGAGTCAGCCTTCCCAGCCTCTCCAAGGCCCTCTTCCTTCAGCTGACAGCCAGGCTATAGCATATCCAGCGATATCAGCAGGGCCACTTATCCAGAAAATTTAATAATAAGTATTCATTGTCACCTGTAGTGGAAATTCTAGTTTTACTTTACATCATTGTGGTAATCGATCATGGATACACCATGACCAGCACTGTATTAGAAATATCTTTTATTTCTGCAAGTGGCATTCATTAGCTATAATTCTCCCTTTGTTTTTGTCTTTGGATCTGTCATAAATGGTTGGTGAAAGGAATCAATGCCTACAAGATTTGTGAAAGTTCTAAAACGTGATAAGGACACATTCTTGCTAAGGAGTCACCTCTTCCCATGTACCACCCACTCACCTTATTGGGCAGAGCTGTATCAATCTCCTGCTGCAGTTTCTTCTGGACATCAGGGTGAGTGGCCAATTCATACAAAATGAAGGAAAGAGCATTGCTAGTGGCTTCATAGCCAGCAAAAATAAAGACAATTGATTGGGCCGCAATCTCCAGATCAGACATAGCTAAGGGGAGAGGAAACACCTTTCAGGTAAAGCAGGTTAGTATATAACAGCACAGTTTAAATGAGAAATCTACAGGAAGGTCCCAAACATCAGGAAGAAGCATAGACAAGCAGTTCAAAGTCAGGCTGAGACTGGTTTTCACTCTCATGTCCATTTTGCAGAGGGGAAAAAAAAAAGGAATTTTAATCCACTTTGTCCCAAGCTCTGTAGTGCTCTCGCCTGCTTGCTCCTCACTGTGGCAGTCTCGCTATTGTCACAGCTGGTTCATTGCAAGAGCTAGCTTTTCTCCCCAACATATAATATTATCAACATGTCTCTTAGGTAATCATACAAGCACTTTAGATGAAGTAAAATTTAGGGTAGCCTTGTCACTCAGGAAAAAAATTAAATTATTGGACCTAAGATACAGCTGAAAAATTATTAAAAGAATTTTTCAGACCGTGTCTTCATTATATGAAAAATTAAAGGATCTCCCATCTAAACATGTTTGAGGAAAATTAAGGGAACAATAGTAGGGCACAGAGAAAGTCTTGCTACTCAAATTGAGGTCCATATAGCAAAGGCATCTGGGATCTTAAAAAAAAAAAAACCAGAATCTCATCAACAAATGAATGCCTAATGAAAATACAGTATATATACAAAGTGGAATATTAGCCATGATGAATAATATCATGTCATTTAGAAGGAAATGGGTGAATCTAGAAACCATCATGTTTAGTGAAATTATCCAGACTCAGAGACAAATATCACATGATTTCTCTTACATGAGAAGCCTAAAAAATAGATTGATACTTAAGTAATTAAAATAAAGGAGAGACAAATGGAAATGAGAAAGTAGACTTCTGGAGGCAGAAAGAGGTCAAATTGGAGGGGAGACAAATGGGAGAAGGGAGTAATTGAATTAAAATTGATTGTATGTGCTAAATACGTATACCAACTTCCTACAACAAACCACATCATCATATAGTACTAACATGCACTAATAAAATGTTTTTAAGTGCAGAATTCTAAAATCCACTCCATAGCTACCAAATCAGGACCCAAATGCTCAGGAGATATGAGATTTGAACACACAACCTTGCTTGAGAAGCAGAGTTTAAATCTTTGAGAAGCATCAAGTAATGGAATACCTGGGCACAAGTTTTCACCATGGCTGATCTCAGAATGTATAGGAAAGCACTCATAGGTAAAGGATAACTGGAATATGGGAAAAGAGAAGGGAAAGAAGGAGAAAGTTTGTATATATGTATATGCAGGATAGTTAACACAGGTGTTCTACTGTCCTGTATTTCCTTGCTGAAAG